ATCCTTTATTTTCTAGCCCTTTAAATAGATTGAACTTTATAAAATAGGTAATCAAATAATTTATCTTTTGTTATCCTTTATTTTCTAGCCCTTTAAATAGATTGAACTTTATAAAATAGGTAAGAAAGGTTAAGATAAAAATGTTTTCGCTTCAGACTCGCTCTTCTGGGTGAAGACTCGGCAGAAAATAATTTTCCTTACTTATTATCGACAGTTGATTTTTTTTACTACAATCCGTTTCTTTACAACTTAGTCTGCCCTAATTTGTTCAGTTATCTCTAGGCTTTATTTGAAAGTTAAGATCTGTATGATCAGTAGTTTAATTCCTGACCATCCTACTTTATGTAATTTATGGTTAAACCGCGCTATGTAATTAGAATCACACACATATAAATATTAACTTATTAAAATAATTTTAGAATTTTCTCATAAGCTTATATTTTAAAAGTCTATCGAAAAAACATGTTACTCAGAATAAAGGCTTTAGACAAATCTCGATTTTATTACATATAATCCTTTCCTTTTAGAAATGTTTTAAACATCTTCATAAGTGGTACTTTACTGTACCTCGTCATGCGGAATACGTTGAATCATATTTGTTTCAAATGAAAAATGAAATTTTAACTTTTAATAGTATTTTCTGGCAACTAAGATAATTTGTCCTTTGTCCTAAAGATATCAGATTCCAGCCATACTAGCAAACTCATGGACTCCAAAGGCAAGCCATTGAGCCACAAAATATCATTTTGAGTACAAAAGGTAACCCTATAAGAGTATAGGGTTATACGTGATCCTTAAAATCCCCTTGATCCTTGTAATGTAACATATTTTGATCTTAATGTGAGAAATTCATCTGGATATAGTCATTTTTGGGGATATTCAAGGTACATAATCCATAAAGATGGAATAAGATTAAAGCCACATTGTCACGTTAAAGCATCGTTCTTTAGTACGGTTATTAAGATTGTGCTTTTTCTTATTAGTTTAAAAGCACAACGTATTTGGGTCAAAATCAAACATTTGTTTGTTTGTTTGGAATTAAGTACAAAGCTACACAATGGGCTATCTGTGCTCTGCCCACCACGGGTATCGAAATCCGGTTTCTAGCGCTCTAAGTCCGCAGACATACCCCTGTGCCATTGGGGGGCAAACCTCAAACATTCTTACTGAAGTTATCAACATGAGAAGTTCCTACTAAAGTTCTTAATTCAACCATTGTGAATCACATGTTTTAAAACTGTGCTTATTCGATGCAAACCTTTCTCTGTGGCCAGGTGGTTAAGGCCCTAAACTCGCAATCCCTATCACACCAAACATGCTCGCCCTTTCAGTCAATCCCACTATTCGTTGGTAAAAGAGTTGCCCAAGAGTTGGCGGTGGGTGGTGATGACTAGCTGCCTTCCCTCTAGTCTTACACTGCTAAATTAGGGACGGCTAGCGCAGATAGCCCTCGTGTAGCTTTGCGCGAAATTCAAAACAAACAATCCTGTGTACAAACACTAACATTATAGAAAGCCAGTCCTGCTAGCAGATCCACTTAGTAAGAGACATGTTACAGCGGAAAGGGCGTGGCAGCCTTTGTTCATTATCTGAGTTGCAGACAATAAAAACAACTGTTTATGTCACAACCTTATAAGTAAGAAAGCACAATACAGGTTGATTAGTAAATTCATGTGCAATGTGTAATGAGAAAAGTTGAGTAACTCGGACTGACAACTCTGAAAGTCACCATCAATAGTTTGAAAACGTTTAATTTATTAATTAAATAAAGGGGGCGCTGATGCATAATAATCTTAGTGTATGAATATGATGAGAGCCCGCACTAGTTATAACTTAATCTTGATTTTTCGGTGGCTACATTGAGCTTTTTGAACACTATGGTTTCCTGTATCCCATGATGTCATTTGTATACTCACCGAGAATTATTGCTCTAGGAAGTGCCACCAGTTTTTAAAAACCCTCCACGTTTATTTATTTATATCGATTATAGGTGAGTTATGGTTATTTAAAAATGTATTTTAGTTACGTGTCAATGAACCAATACTGCAATTGTTTTTGAAGCTAATCGTTTATAAAGAATGGAGAACTTTATTTATTGTTCTAAAACTATGGACTAAAAGGTCAAATAATAATAAGATGCATTAACGAAAAATTTAACTGAATTTAAAATGGCAAGTGAAACATATTATTTGACTTTAAATACGAAAAAAGCAGGATTTGTATATATATATGTGTAAATTTGATTGAAATGAAGCATTTTGAAAGAGATTTAACTACTAACCCTGTTTTAGCTTAAAATTTTGTCCTACAAAACATTAATAGAACAAACAAGTGCATGTGATTTAGAATTTTTATAAAATAAAATAATATAATATATTTTCTCCAACACTGATCAACAAAATAGCTTTCAAGTGAAAATAGTACTCAGAGAAATAGTTATTTTCTTTTCTTTTATAAACGAACCTTTTATTTAACCTTTATTTTTTGTACTCCATGGTAGAAGCCCTAATGCAACCTGTGGAGAATTTGGAGCTTGCACACAACACACAGACGTTGTACATCTTCTTACATACGACTTCACTTACGAAAGCGTTAAGTGCGAATCATTTAAACGATGCTGCGGTTGTTTCTGTGAATAGATCACGTAGCCGGTAGAGGGCCATCTCTAAAGGTTTAAGCAAAAATATGAATATTTTGTACGTATATTCTGTTTTAATCATAGTTTAACACTTATACGCTCTTCAGTTAAGATAACTTTTGTATAACTGTACCAGTCAACAAATGTGTTTAAGTGAAATAAAGTAACTGTACCAGTCAACAAATGTGTTTAAGTGAAATAAAGTAACTGTACCAGTCAACAAATTTGTTTAAGAAATGAAGATTCATTTGTTTTTTTTGTTATTGAATTAAAAGCTGCACAATGAGCTAAGTTTGCATTATACACCGCAGTGATCAATCCACGAATTTTGGTGTATATACTTTCAAACTTACCGCTAAGCTAAGTTTTGCAACAAGAAACAAGCAGCTGATGACAAAAGACAGTTAACTATTTTCGTTGTCGTTGTACAATGATGTTTATATAATTTCTAAATCGAACTTTTGCCTATTATATACAAGTTAAAGATATTCATTTATCCTTTGATGTCTTGTTATAGGTTCCTCTATTTGAACCCTAGAAGTGCCTGTTGGATTTATTAATACTTTTTTTTTCTAAATTATTAACTTAATTGAGGGCTATCTTCTTATAGCGACAATATTTTATAGACGAGAGAAAAGGCAAGTAGTTTAATTTTGTTTTTTGAATGGACTAGGTAGTTTGTTTTATGCTATAGTTTATATTAATTAATATGAGTAACACACAAAATTGTACGCGACAGCCTTCAGGTGTTACTTTTATCATTTGTTATATGATCGCAGGGCGTCATCTGTAGTTATTTTGAAACGATGACAACCCTATCCGCCTTTCAATTATCACTAAAACAACAGGGCTTTACTATTTCACTTGGACATGTATTTATATATCGTGATCTACAGAATCCCTTGAAAGTTATTGTTGAACAACATCATTGGTATATTCCACATTGTATTAATAGTGTCGCAAATTCCGTAAATAATAATAGTGTTAAATTTATTACGTGGGAAATATCTGAACTGAATAAAGTGTGAAAGCAATAACAGTTGAAACAGAAGAAATACGTACATTAAGAATGAAGGTGATGCGAAAAGCTGAAATGAAAAATCCTCTGATTAAGGATAATACAATTACTAAAATATTCAATAACATTATAACAAGCGTAATTTGCCATGTAAGTTATATACTTTTTTTACACAGAATAAACGACATTTGCCAACGATAAGTTTCTATTGATCCATAAGCTTCAGAATGTTTATAATTACATGTCCAAATATTAATGATATGTATGCCGGTCAAAGTATTGAATATTAGTTCTTAACCGAATCTCTCAATGATACTTTTTAATTTTTACAAAACCAATTTAATAATTAATATTTTTTTCTAATGTAGGGCCTACCACAGTTCAGGTTTGTTAAGTAACATGATTGTTTTTTAAGAAATTACCATGGTAATTTATTAATATGTTTTTAATTCCTCGTTTGTTCATGTTATTTTTCTATGAAATATTTTAATTTTCTCTTTGTGTACAATTAATATAAAAATAACTTAAAATTAACTAAAACTAAATTAACTTAATAAAACTTTCAAGTTTTTCTTTTGATTATTTCACACAAAATGGCAAGTGGGATGACTGAAAGATGAAAAAATGTTTAAAGTTAAGCACAAAGCTACACAATGGGCTATCTGGGCTCTGCCCACCACGGGTATCGAAACCCGGTTTCTAGTGTTCTGGGGTAGCAAATTTTGAATAATAGACCTAATGAATATACACATCTTACTGACGACTGTGATGAAGCAATATTATATATTGTTTTTTTTAGCCTTTATAACATTATTTACAGTTTCACAGACATCGGATTACAATTTAAAACATTATTTATGTTATTCTGCAAAATGTATATGAAATTGCTTGCCTTGACAATATTTACGCAATATATGTATATTGTTATACGAGTGAAAGTTTAATCTGTCAGACAAGAGATGGCGGTGGATGCTGTTGGCTCACTGCCTGACCTGGCATGGCCTGAGCGATCGACCCGCAATCTTCGGATCATTGGTTTGGTTCCCTTCACCGAACATGCTCACTTGATCAGTCGTGAGGGCGTTATAAAGTGACAGTTAATTCTACTATTCGATTACAGTAGCCCAAGAGTTGGCGGTGGGTGGTGATGACTAGCCATCTCCTTTTAATCTATTGCTTCTATGTTAGGAACGGCTAACACAGATTGCCCTGAGTAGCTCTACACGAAATTCAACAAAGAAGAACTGACTGCCTGCCCTCTAGTCTATCAGTTCTAAATTACGAATGTCAATGTACAGATAAAGATAAAGTACAGTTAAAGTTTCGACATCATAACTAATAAAACCTATCTAATATTTATGTTAAGGTTTCAACATCATAACTAATAAAATCTATCTAATATTTATGTTAAGGTTTCAACATCATAGCTAATAAAACTAAATTAAAATTTATGTTAAAGTTTCAATATCAAAGCTAATAAAACTAAACTGAAATATATGTTAACGTTTCAACATCAAAGCTAATAAAATTAAACTAAAATATATGTTAAAGTTTCAACATCAAAGCTAATACAACTAATCTAAAATATATGTTAAAGCTTCAACATCAAAGCTAATAAAACTAAACTAAAATTTATGTTAAAGTTTCAACATCATAACTAATAAAACTAAACTAAAATTTATGTTAAAGTTTCAACATCATAACTAATAAAATTAAACTAAAATATATGTTAAAGTTTCAACATCAAAGCTAATACAACTAATCTAAAATATATGTTAAAGCTTCAACATCAAAGCTAATAAAACTAAACTAAAATTTATGTTAAAGTTTCAACATCATAATTTATGTTAAATGTGTGTGGCTTAGTAAATGTCATATTTCCAAACATATAGAGTAAAAATTATATTTCTACATTAAATGTTTCCAGCCTCATCTGTTTCAATTATTCCTTTTCAATATATTTCAAAATCATATTATTTTAAAGTGATTAAATTATCCCTATCTTCATATGTTCAATCAGTTAATTTCACATATTGGCAATAACTATTTTCAAGTCATTTTTGTTCGAGGAGTGGGTAATCACATACCAATACGTCTTATTTTTTTATGAAAATATGTCATATTGCTATTTTCTAATCGATGTCTAACGTTAGTAATTAGAATCAATAAGTTAAGTCGTGAAAATAGTGAACGTAAATTAATGAATAATTTGAAAATCTATTTTTAGCCTTTCAAAATCAATATTACATATATATATATATATATATATATATCAAAGGTCTATTTTTTGTACGATCAATACTGCTTCCTATAATATGATAAGTTTGATCTGCAGTAATGAATTCTCCAGTTGCACTGATTTGATATGGCCTCAGTCTTTTAAGATAAATGTTAAAATGGAATTTGGAAATCCATTCTTTTAATAAGCAGATTCTATTTTGAACGAAACTTCGTTCATCACTGGCCTGAACTACATTTCGAAATAATTAGAATGAGCATTTTTCCCCCATATACTTACTTTTGTTCCACCTACATGATGTCATGTTTCTTCATCAGACTATGTAATCGCTTTTTTTTTCTTTCTTTTTATTAAGTTTCTCAAGTGATCTATTTTTACTTCATCGTTTAAGTAAAGGCAGAAAAAAATCAAATTCAAATTACGCATTGACGAAGTAATAGCAAGCTATTTCGATTAAGTTTACTACACGGTAGGTGTTATACTTTTTGTCAGTGTGTTTCAATCACTTCGGCTTTTCTACTCTTTTTTTTTTTTACTGTTTATTGATCCACAACTTTATTACTTAAGAGGGTCTCTAATAAAATATGAGTTACACAGAGAAATAAAGAATACAACAATACTGTAATTAATCCCTCTAAACAACTGGAAGTCCCTTTGAATATTTTTAGTGCTGCAAGTGAGAAAAAACAACAAACAGAAACTCACTATTGATACAGTATGTGAACACCAATGATTGAGAACAGTATTAACATATTATGCAATTTGAGGATAAAAGGATTCATTTGAATTTCTAAGTACAGGATTTACCCCAACAACTGTCTTTGTGTTTTGGATTTAGAAGCAAAATTGTATTCTTGTTAAATATTCAGAAAACCAACAATTTTCTGTCGTATTTTAGGGTTTGAGAATCTGCGTTATTCTTAGTGGTGTATGGATCATATATGATTCCTTTCAACGACAGCATTCATTTCATGTTTTTATATGACTACTGAATGAAAATGTTCATGAAGTATGTACTTTCACAGGTTGCTTGTTAGAAATACATTAAAGGTTTATAAACATATTCGTCATAAGTAAAATGCTTTATTATGAATATAGTTCAATATAGTTTAAATTCCAATCCAAACTAGTAATAAAATCATATCCATTTGAAATAGTAAACTTTATGTTAATTTACCAAAGTATAATCTTCGGAAGTTATGGAACACGCAATCATTGAAAAATCCATCACTTATATGTATTTTTAACAATCTGATTTTGAATAATACACGTTTACACGCTTTAGATTTTGATAACTGGTTGGTAAAAAAATATCTGATTCGTAAATTATAAAATGTAATGTTCACTCTGAGATAAAGAGGCTTGTTTAGTTGTCAGATTTTCCAGAAACTGATAAATAATTTTGTAAACTCTCACTACTTACATTGAAGAAAATGAAATGAACAAAGACATCGACTGCATCTCATTTAATCAATAAATGTTTTATCTTGTT